CCAGGAATTGAGACCCCCAGGAATTCCCCCCTCAGGATTCCCTCACCCAGTGAATTAGTGGCTCTGGATTAATCCCTGAAGGAGACTAAAGCCCAGCTGCAAGTGCCACAGGGTGCTCGGGAAGCGCTTTCTCCGCGGAACAAACGTGGGCAGTGGGGTGCAAGGATCTCCCTTGTTCCCTTTTCCAGGGTTTATCCGCCCTGACGGGACACCCCACGACCAGTGGTGAGGATTATTCCCTGATCCCCCTCCAGCCCTTGCTTTTCAGAGCACGCTGACAGCAAAGCTGCTCCCAGGGCCGGCGGTGCCCTCTGGTTTGGTCGTGACCCCTCCTGACCCGGGGTGGATTTGAATCCTCGACTGACAGCGCTCAGGATCCCATTACTAATCTCCTGAGCCACCCAGTTGCCCCATAAATCTGCAAGTGATATGTTTAACAAAGCAGAGATTAACACAGAGGCTGCCAGGGCAGAATTGAGATGTAGTTTGGGCTGGTTTGTGCTCTGCTCTCCCGAGGTGGAGCTTCCTCGGGACCGGCACCAAAACTGCTTTGTTTTGAAATGTTCACCTGTTCTGCTTTTTTGTTGGGTTATTATAAACCCTGACAACCTGCTCCACACAGCTTATTCCCACAGTCCCCACCCACGATGGCCTTGTCTGACCCCCCTTCTGTTGCTGCCCCGAGATGCTGCCTGAGGGAGGTTTTCCTGCATTGTTTTCTGGCTGTGAAATTGTAATTTTTGGTCAGAGAAAATCACAGTGTTCTCCAGATAACAAAAAACCAGCCGTTTCCAACCAGTTTTGAAGCACTGAATTTTACAAAATAGAAATGAATCACGAAAACCACGGGATGGTTTGGGTTGGAAAAGCCCTTTAAGAGCATCAGTCCAACCATTCCCCCAGCACTGCCCCAGGTCCCCAAGTGCCACATCCACATGGCTTTTAAATCCCTCCAGGGATGGGGACTCCACCACTTTCCTGGGAACCTGTTCCAGTGCTTGATCACCCTCTCTGGGAATAAACTTTTCCTAATATTCATTGTTTTCATTCTCAACTGCTCCTAAAATCCCGAGACCTTTAGCTGGAGGAGTCTCAGGCTTCCTGAATTCATTTTCTCTTCTCCAAAGAATGTTTTCTGTATTTCCTTTCTAAGCTGTTAGTTTGCATTGGTTTATATACCAAATAAATTGTCAGATTCTCTTATCCCATTGCTACAAGGAAGTAGGGTAGGTTGTTTGGAATGCTGGAGCCTGGTAAAAACCAGGAAAAATTTGGATAACTTGCACTAGTTTGCACCAGTACAAGTCAATAATAATAATGAGAGAGCTGTGACTCAGAGTATTGCTGTGTCAGAACTATAAAAAATGTTGCTCAAGAGGATTATTTAACAGTTGCCTTTGTTTTGGGAGCTTTTTATACTTAAAATTCCTATAAAGTTTCTTTAAGAGCCTTTTTTCCACGTGGAAGAAAGGCTTTAAAATAAGCTTCTAAGGTTTGATTTCCTAAATTGCAGATCTTTAGCAAAATAAAATAAGGCTTTCTGAAGTGTTGGGGTTTTTTGTTGTTTTTTTTGGTTTTGGTTTTTTTTTTTCAAGGAGTTAAAGGTTCTTTCTGCTGGCAGGGAGAGCTAAAAGTGGATCACTGGCCACGAGCCAAACTCCATCAGCTCCACAGAAATATTCATAAAGTAGATCAATAATTAAGCCCTCTATGCAAAAGAAATGCTGAGTTTGTCTCAGATTGCTCTGCAGTGCCTGATCATACATGGTTTAATTTATTTTCCAAATGAGTTTTTGGGAATATTAGCAAGATTTAAGCTTTTTTTTTTTTTTTTTTTGGACAACTTGGTATGACTATTTGGCTTATTTAGGTTTATTCTGAATAAATTTCCTTTTTTTTTTTTTTTTAACCCAGGCAAATTCAGAAATTTCATCCACTGGGTGATTTGCTGCTGTTGCAGTGTTTTTATAGGGCAAGATGACACAGAAAATGGATTGGGATGGCAGTGGCATTTCCTTAGTCAGTGCAACAGAATAAGGGGAAAATGTAATAACTGAATTTAACATAATAACTGAATTTAACTGCTTTTCTTACATGCTTCTATTTTCTCCCTCTGTTTGTAACCATGTTTTTGATTCTCAGTAGAGATAAATGGCTTTAGGAGAATAGAACCTGTTTATTCCTTGGGCTTTACCAACAACACTGTAACAACCCTGGAGCTGCAGAACCTCTGTAGCTTGTGGGGAAAAGAATTCCCTCTGTCTCATAAGTTCAGTGCAATTCCAGGGGGGATTTGCAGGGCCAGCTATTTATCCCACTTGGGAATGGAAGAAGTGTTCAGTCAGTGTGGCCTCTGCATTTTCAAAGGGAGTGAAGACTTGAATTCCTGCTCTCTGGGCTGGAGGGAAGGAATGTGTTTTATTCCACCTTCTGCAGGAGAAACTCGGTGCAGTGCAGGACGTGCCTGGACTGAAAAATGGAATTGCCACTGGTGATAATTTGCTTTCTCCCCTCTCTGAAAAATTCCATCTTCCAGGCCTGCAATTACCCATCTTTTATTTATAAAACCTTTCCTACAAGAGCACTTAGGGGAGGGAAAACTTATCTGGGAAATAATTGGCCACGTTAATTAAGCTGCTGCACGTCACGTGGTGCTGTTACCTGGGTGCTCTGGCAGTGGCATCGTGTGCAGCCAGTCAAACCCACTCACAGGTCATTCCAGCTGCATCAGTAAAACCCTTGGAGCTGGACAGGGAGCCAGGATAACAGTGACAGGGATTCAGCACAGTCACGGTTTGCCAAACGATCCGTCCGATAAACTGAGCCCTGGTCTCTGCAGGGACCAAAGGCTTTCCCCAGCTGATGATTCCATGGCTCACTGCAGCTCTTTCACAGGGATAAAGGGGGGGAAAAGAACCCTCCTGCTCCTGCTGAGCCCCTTTCCACACCTCCTGGCACAGGGATGCAGCTGGAAGCACGGACACGTGGACCTTGTGACCTGTGGTCCCACTTTGGTTGCTGGTCCTTAGGGCCCCATAAACATGGATGCACCCAGAGTGAAGTCTCTCACCCAGGAAGAGAGTTAGAAAGGAATTCTGGAAGAGGATAGGACTGTGCTGATGGGATGTGGGGCACAGCCAGACAAGCAGGGTGACCAGCAGCCTCCTCACAGAGCTGGTGCTTTTCCCCCTTCATCCCATGTTGGTTCCTCCCTAAATCACCCACATCACTCCCTTTCCCTGCCATTGTCCTCCCACAGACATCCCTAAACTCTGGTGTCATCCTGAAATGTTGCCCTGTCAGGATGGTTCTTCCTGGCTCAGAGCATCCCAGAGAGGTTTGGGTTGGAATGGGACCCTAAAGCCCATCCAGTGCCACCCCCTGCCATGGGCAGGGGCACCTTCCACTAGCCCAGGTTGCTCCAACCTGGCCTTGGACACTCCCAGGGATCCAGGGGCAGCCACAGCTTCTCTGGGAAACTTCTCTGGGACCCCCTCCTGCCTCTGTGCTCTTGTGCTCCTTGGGATGTGTTGTCTGCTCAAGCAGAACAAACCTGTGCCTCTCTTGTGAGAAATTTCAGTGATATCTCTAATTTTAGGGGATGGTTTCAGGCTAAAACTCCTCATCACACCCGAATGTCTCCTCACAGCCCCCCAAAATCAAAGAAACCCAGCAGTTTGTATTCTCTCTTCCTCTTTTCTACTTAAGCAATTCTATCCCTGAGCTCCCTGCTGGCTCTTGGGAATTCTGTCCTGAGCCACCTCACCTTTTTAGGAGGACTTCGGGGATGGGGCTGTGGATTCAGATGCCTGAAGGTGAGGTGTCATCTCACAATCCATGGGTGGAGTCGACCCTCAACTTCTACCTGAAGATCACAGGGATTTAAGTATGGAATTATATTAGGGCTTCTCATTCTTAGCACTGGGAACTCCTCATTTCCTGTCTGGGTGGAATTTCAGAGAGCTGAGAGGTATTTTATTTTATTTATTTTTTTAATTGAGACTGTATTAGCTTCTGTTGACAGTACAGCTCTGTGATGGTGCTTGTAAAATTTGGTAAATTTGGAATTTATGGTTAAAATCCTTTTGGTACTTGTGAAATCCTCCTTTTTTTTTTTTTTTTTTCCTTTTAAAATACCAAGCCTGTAAACTCAATAGGAAACCTTGAAAACGTTAAGCCAGTGAAATAATAATTGGCAATATCTATGAAGACAATCCTTGGTGCTATTGAAGGGCCAGAGCAGAATCCATCTTGCTGTCAATACAACTTCAGCAGGAATTGTGTGGGTGGATTGGAGCACTTATCCCAGCCATTATGCAGCAGTGGCACAAGTTAATGGAACAGATTGTCAGGGGGACTGTAGGAAGCAATTGCATAGGAAGGATGATGTGATTTATGTATGAGAGATAATACACTGCATGTAATGAGAAAGTTTGGGAAATAATGTATGGAGGAGGTGCACGGATAAAATCGTTGGCATAGCTCAGAAAATAACATTTTATTTCTGGCTGCTTATTGCTTCCTCGAATTGCTTCCTGATTTTGGTGTTTAATTCAAGCTGAGTTACATTTGAAAAAAAAAAACAAAAACCAACAGTGATGTTATTTCTGAAGATGACAATGGGGAGGAAGAAAAAAGGACTGCTTGGGATCAGGCTAAAAATCCAGGGGATGTTTGTGTTTGCTCACCCTCCCTCTCTGTTCTGGAGTAAACCTTTTGGATCTGCCAGCGTGTTGTTTCTGTAGGGTGGGTTTGGCTTTTGTTGCCTTTGAGGAAAGTTTGTGAAAAAATTAAGAGATTATAACAATAACAGGAACAAAACCTAAAAAAAATCCACCCCAAAACATAGAAGCCTGGAGCTGGTGGGTGTGGTGGTGAGGAGAGGAGCACGAGGAGACAGAAGGAAGGGTCCCAAAGCTGGACAGGGTGAGGGGGGGACATGGGGAGTGCCCAACATTTCTCCAACATCAGAGATCCAGGCAGGAGCTCCTGAACAAGGAATGAGGGAGGAGCATGAGGAGCTGGTGGTGAAGGTGAGGAGAAGGGGGTTGAGGGAGTTTAGGATGGAAAAGAAGTGGTGGCAGAGCAAAAGAAGCACAAACCCTCAAGCTGAGGGTGGGCAGAGGGTCTGTCCCTCTTCCCTCCCTCACGGGACAGAGCACGAGCCTTTAGTTGCCTTTGTGGAGGTGAAGCACAAAATCCTCCCCCAAAAAAACCCATAACTGCTCTCACTTTGTGCAGTCATTTTGTCCTTCACATCCATTTATTTTCTTCAGGTACCAGGGGTGAGTTTTCCAGCCTTTCAGCTTCCCAAACAAAAATCCCCAGGAAGAAATCTGATCCGTGAGCTGCTGCTTTGCCTGTGCAGCTTTTCAGTCTGGCAGATAAATAACACTTTGCAGGCAGTGGAGCACAGTTATGATGGGATTGCTTTTTTGGGGGGGGCTCTCTGACATTCCAGGCACTGGAAGAGCTGGATTGATTGCACCAGAGTGGTGTTTGCCTGGAGTGCTGTGCTTCCCACGGTGGGATGATGAGCTGACATTGCTGTCTAAGCCTCAACTCAGGCATGAAGGAAATAAATGGGATAAGGGGATGTCTGGGGTTGTGTGTCCATGTGGGGTTTGGCCTCTTGAGTTAGGGATTATTGCCTAAGTGCTTGGGATGAGCAAAATGGGGGGAAGGAGGCAAAAAGTTGCATTGTTCTGGAATAGTTATAGCAGGGCTGGGCAGCCCTTTTCATCCTGGGAGTGAAGAGCTCTGTCTTGCTGAGAGCCACAGTGTGCCCTGGCCATGAGGAGCTGTGGAGAGGCAGAGTTTGGGGTGGGTGCTGTCTGGGTGCCCCCACATTCCTGGGAGTGAGACCTGGGATCGGGGTTGCATCAGTCCTGTCGGTCCCAGTCGCCTCTTCGGGGTTGTGTCTCACCAAGTGGGTGCTTGGGGTGGCCCAGTTTTCAGCAGAAACCCACAAATTATTTACTAAACAACTTAAAGATTGCCTTCTTATCCTTGAGTTCTGAAATCCCAGGGCAAAATATGAACACACGGGGATCAGGGGCTGCAGGATCAACATCAGTGATGTTGGTCTGAGTCTCCTTGCTGGGGTTGTGTCTCACCAAGTGGGTGCTTGAGGGCTCAGTTTTCAGCAGGAACCCACAAATTATTTACTAAACAACTTACAAATTGCCTCCTTACCCTTGAGTTCTGAAATGCTGGGGTGAAACATGAACACACATTGCACTGGGATTAGGGGTTGTGTCAGTGGTGTTGGCTCGAGTCACCTCTTTGGGGTTGTGTGGGTGCTTGGGGGGCCCAGTTTTCAGTACAAACCCACAAATTATTTACTATAAATTATTTACAACTTATAAATTGCCTTCTTATCCCTGAGTTCTGAAATCCCAGGGCAAAATATGAACACACTGGGGTCAGAGGCTGCATCAGTGATGTCTGTCCAAGTCTCCTTGTCAGGATTGAGTCTCACCAAGTGGGTGCTTGGGGTGGCCCATTTTTCAGCAGAAACCCACAAATTATTTACTAAACAACTTATAAATTGCCTTGTTACCCTTGAAACCCAAAGTCTCAGGATGGAACATGAACACACATGATCAGGGGCTGCATCAGTGGTGTTGGTCTGGGTCACCTCTTCGGGGTTGTCTCTCACCGAGTGGGTGCTTGGGGTGGCCCAGTTTTCAGCACAAACCCACAAATTATTTACTAAACAACTTACAAATTGCCTCCTTACCCTTGATTTCCGAAATCCTGGGCTGAAACACCAGGCACACACCCAGCCATCCAACACCTCCCTGTCTCCTTCTCCCCCGTGGCTGCTGCTCAGCTGAGTCTCAGGAGCAGGCAGAGGGGAAGCTCCTGATCTGCTTGAAGTCAAATCAAAGTGTGACAAAAATGGTTAATTGAGCAGAGCACTGGAACAGCTGCTGGAGTGGCACACGAGTGGCACATCCCCACGACAGAACAACCTCCTGCATCGGGTACCAGCCACCTCGTTAGCTTTGAAGGCCTCGTTAAGTCGGTGTCAGGTCTCTGATGGCAGATGAGAAGGATGTTACACATCCTCTTAGTGCAGCTTTAAAGGAAGGGTGCGTGTTTTAAATGCAAATGTCGTGCTTGTTGTTGGGTTGTAGGGAGCAGAGCTGCTGTCTGAAGGATTGATTGGCCTTTTAAGTGTCAGGCAGCTCTATTTTTAGGGGTGGTGATGCGTGTTTGCCTTGTAACCCATTAGACTCGCCGCAAAGAGGAATCAAAATGCATGTGCAAGTTGTATCCATGTGAATAAGTGTCAGTCCTGGTGTCACCTGGGAATCAGGGCAGCTCCAAGGGGAAATGGTCCAAAATGTCACTGTGGGGTTTCCACACAGCATCTCGTTGTTTGTTGGGGCTAAGGATAAAAATCACGACGACTTCTGAATAAAAAACAAACTTAGAGCAGCATAACAGCCCGATGGGCAGCCTGGTTTGGGTCTGATCGGGGGTTTTATTGACACATTTACATGTTTAGCCTAGAAATGACACCAGTAGAGTGCTGGGACTGGGCTGGGCCACCCCAGACTCGGCACAACCAGCTCTCAGGACCTGCAAACTTCAGATTCTCTCAGCTCTGAGTGCTTTTCTCACACCAAGTCTCTCACTAGTTTTCGGTGATGAGCAGCAAACCCTTTGCAAATATTTCCATGGCTATTCCCCCAGTATTTACATCATTATTCCCCCAGTATTTATATTATTATTCCCCCAATATCTACATGACTATTCCCCCAATATTTATGTGGTTATTCCCCCAATATTTTTGTGGCTATTTCCCCAATATTTACATGACTGTTCCCCCAGTATTTACATGGATATCCCCCCAATATTTACGTGGTTATTCCCCCAATATTTGCATGGTTATTCCCCCAATATTTCCATGGCTGTTCCCCCAATATTTCCATGGCTATCCCTCCAGTATTTACATTACTATTCCCCCAGAATTTGTATGGATATCCCCCCAATATTTATGTGGTTGTTCCCCCAATATTTCCATGACTTTCCCCACAGTATTTTCATGGCTGTTCCCCCAGTATTTACGTGGATATGCCCCCAGTATTTATGTGGCTATTCCCCCAATATTTTCATGGCTTTCCCCTCAATGTTTACATGGATATACCCCCAATATTTATATGGCTATTCCCTCAATATTTACACAACTATTCCCCCAATATTTATGTGGCTATTCCCCCAATATTACCATGGTTATTCCCCCAATATTTACATGGCTTCCCCCTCAATATTTACGTGGCTATTCCCCTGTAACTCCCAGGAGGAAATAACCAACTCTTGCTGATATTTCAGCTCATTGTGTCCCACAGCCCTCCCTGCTGACCCAAATGTGAGCACACAGGAAACATATGCCACGTTTTATTTGCCAGCTCTAGAAAAGATGGGTTTGGAGCACACGAGATGTCACATCTGTTTAGGCCACAAAATATTGCACTGAATGGCTCCCTTTGTGAGAAACTCTGCATTTCCTGATGCCTGTTAAATTGGGATTATAAACTGTGTTAAATGTGCTTTATCTTATGAGTTCCTCTTCTGTTTGCAGCAAGGGAAGCCGTATGTCTTTGATAGAGTGTTACCTCCCAACACAACCCAGGAACAAGTTTATAATGCCTGTGCCAAGCAGATTGTTAAAGGTAGGTGTTGTCTTTGCTTATCCCTGCTTGGGGGGAGGGAAAGAGATGTCTCCCTGTCCCCTCGAGCCGTTTAAAGACTGGATAATAAATGTTTCGGTGTCTGGGTGGGAATTTAGTAATTAGTGATCCCAAGCATTTCCTTTTTTCTGGGGCTTGTCTGGGTAAAAAAAAATAACCACAGAAGAGCTGAAGGAATCGCAGCAGTTGTTCCTTCCTTTCTCCTCGTGTTATTCCACACAAACACTTGCTTTTTGTGCTATAAGGAACAACAAGTGTTTTCTTCGTGCAGTGTGAGACTGTTCAGTCCAGGATGAGCGTGGAATATCTGTACCTTGGAGTGGGAGGGTGGACTATGGAAGGAGAGTGTAGAAAGCACTGGTTTCTTCTTTGCATGCACAGAGCTTGCATTTAAAATTGAAATGAGAACACAGGTGCCTCTCAGATGACACCCTGTTTGTTTGAAACAAAACCTTCATGAGCTGTTGAATTTTCGTTTGAGAATCAGAGTTTTTGGGTGCATTTTTATCACTTGCCATAACCCCCCACCTCCCAGATCACCCTCAGACCTCACACGTGGTCCCGAGGCTGGGTGGTCCCTCCCTGGTGGTATTCATAACATCATGGAATATGCTGAGTGGGAAAGGATCCACAGGGATCATCAAGTCCCACTCCTGGCCCTGCACAGGCACCCCAACAATCCCCCCTGTCCCTGAGAGTGTTGTCCAAACCCTTCCTGAACTCAGCCTTGGTGCTGTGACCGTGTTGCAGCATCTCAGAGGTTCTGAGTAGTCCCTGCTCTGGTTGTTCCTTGTGTGCTGTCCCTGTGCTCTCCCTGGGTTTGGTCCTTGGGTTTTGGTTTCTAAATCCAAGTGTGTGGACAGTGGGAATGGTGTCAGAGCCAGCCAAGGCTGGGTGGGGAACACTGGGGAATTCTGGAGATACTGGGGGTGTGCACAGAGGTGCAGGAGCTGCTGGAGCCATGTGGGAGGACCTGCTGGTGTTTTAGGGATGGAGCTGGATCTGCTCAGAGCTCCTGTCTTGGGAGAGCTCCCTGGAATGAGCAGCCCCGCTCCAAACCCTGGGTGCAGTTCTGAAGGAAATCGGTTCTCCTGCTCCAACAACTTGGAGCAAACCAACCTGGTCCCACCCAGGTGATCAGGGGAGAAACAAAAATGTTGCTGTTGGAGAGTGAAAATGAGCCATAAAATTCAGTTACCTCTTCTCAGAGGGAGCCTGATTACAGCAATTCTGCCTTCAGATGGGTAAGCCTTTAATAAAACTGGTGGGGCTGGAGTTGAGGGATCATCAGCTGGGGTTGCTGACACACCACTCAGCTGTTTGGAAGTTTGGGAAGCTGTTCCAGGACTCCAGGGTGTGCTGACAGGAGCAGCACTGGGCTGTTTGAGGGGATTTATATCCCCTGTGGAAGTTGGTTTCCTCTGAAAATGGTGAGAGGAATAAAACCCTCGGTGAGAGGGATTTGGAAGAGCTAAATCAGGGAGTAAATTGTCCTCGTGCCATAAATAGGAAGGAAAATAACTCTCCAAAGTCCTGCTTGGAAGGAGAGCTCAGAGTTACCTTCCACGTAGAAGTTTGGTGGGGAGGGGAAAAAAAGAGAAATGGGAGGAAAAAGAGAGAAGAGGGGATTAGAAAAGTGAGGAGAGTGATGGGGAGGAAGAGAAAGGAAGGATGGGGAGAGGAGAGTGTAAGATGGGGAGTGAGAGTGATGCATATTTTAGTGAAATATATGAAATAAAACACTAAAGAAAATATTAAAGAAATAAAATACTAAATGATTAATAAATAAATAAATACAAAAATACGAAAATACGCACTTAGGATGTGGGGAATCACCACTGGGATTGCATTTTTTCCTAAAATACACTAAAGAAGATACTAAAGTAAAATAATCAATAAAACACTAAAAAAAAAATACCGAATAAAATCCCCAAATAAATAAAATATTAAATACTGTACAATAAATAAATAATAAATTCCTAAAATAAATAAAATACTAAAATAACACACTGGGGTGTGGGGAATCACCACTGGGATTGCATTTTTTACTAAAATACACTAAAGAAGATACTAAAGTAAAATAATCAATAAAATACTAAAATTAAAAAAAAGCCAACCAAATAAAATTCCCAAATAAATAAAATATTAAATTCTGGATAATAGATAAATAATAGAAATTTTATAAATAATATTTTATATTTTTATAAATAAATTTTTATAAATAAATTTTTATAAATAAATAAAATACTAAAATAACACGCTGAGCTATGGGGAATGACCACTAAGGATTGCATTTTTTTTCCTAAAATACACTAAATAAAATACTAAATAAAGTAATAAGTACTATCTAATAGATAAATAATAAAATACTAAAATACACACTGGGGTGTGGGGAATCACCACTGGACATTGCATTTTTTTTTGATGATAAAATGTTATTTATTCCATCCCTCCTCAGGAAAAGGCACATCTGGCAGCAGCTGAGTGGCCTTTATGGGGAGGGGAAATTCAGCTGGAAATCAGGGAGGAAGGGGGGGAGTTGGACCAGGAACTGAGAAAAGCACTTGGACTTACTTTTTTGTGTGTGTGTGTGTAAAAATCCCAACTGATCTCAGTTCAGTCACTTGGTTAATCTGTTTTTTTCCCCTCACTCTGGAGTTTTGTCCTATCTGGGGCTGCTTCCCTCTGGATCAGTGGGCAGATGGTCCAGGAAGTCACTGAAAGTGGAAACCCTTCCAGCCAAAATAACCTTTTCTGCTGCTGAGGCCTCTGACTTATTTAACTGCACACAATGAAAAGGGCAATTTTTTACAGAATAAAGTATATTTTGCTAATTGGGAAGGTAAATTACTTATCTCTGCTTCCTCAGCACACATTGATGCAAATTCTAAACAATATTCTTGCATAACAGTTGATTAATCAGATTATTTTCCCCCTTGGCTTTGTTTCTGTATGGATTTGATTTGGTACCTTGGATCCACCTGGAGTTAATACCCTTTTTCTTCTTTATTTTTCTCCTTTCTTTCTTTTAATTCAAACTGTTTTTTTTTTAAATTTAACCCAATTTGGCACAAAGTAGAAATAGTAGGAGTGAACTCTTAGGGAGCACTTACACTAGATTTTTTTATCTGTGCAATTATTATTTCTAATTGCTTATTTCAGCTGTCATTTCCTTAAAGCAAAAATAAGCAGTGGCTCTATTTTTATAAGCAGATGACGATGCTAAATTATATTCTGTGTTTAATTAGAATATTTAGTTTTAAATGGCTTCATTCCAATTTCATCCTTAGTCTTGCTGCACAGGAAATGTGAGTCTGTGCAGCAGAAAAAAAATAAATCTCTTTCCCTTTCCTTTCTTTTAATCCATTTCTGTTCTTTGAAATAATTTTTATCTGGTTTTTTTTCTCTGATTTTTTTTCCCCATACTTGTTCCATCTTCATTCCTTTTTGTATTTTTCTAATGTATCTTTATTTAATTGTCCTTCCTGTCTGGACCACCTGCTTGGATACATGTGGAGATGCAAATTAAGATATTTTCTGTGTGTGTTTATGTAAATATGATATATATGACATATCTAATAATATATAACACAGTCATGTGTATATATTTACTATAAATACACACACACAGAGAGATATATTTATTTCCTGGAAGCCTCTATTAGTAGAGATCCAGAGGGTGGGAAACAGAAGTATATTTTCCAGCCTTCCCAGATTTCTGAAAGCTCCTGTGGGCATTAAGCACTGCCAAGTTAAAAATGGATATTTTTATATCTAAATGCAATATAAAATGACTATTTCTGCCTTGAAAGGAGTCTATTTTCAATAAAGCAAATTCCTGCTCATCTGACTTTCCTCTTTCTTTGCTCTCCTGCTTTGTAGACTTGGGGAAACTTATAAATTAATGAGGCCACGACCTGTTGAGGGTGATACAGCAAGGGAAATATAATATGACATTAATAGCAAGAAATATACATGAATTGGTTTAATTTTCTCTTTGCTTTAAAATGCAGGCAGTTAAGGTTTTCCTTTCCCATGTTACACAGATGTATTGGATGATATGTAGTGTCCAGAGATACTTTTTCCCTGGAAAAATAAGCAATCAATAATCCTGCAATTCTCTAATTTAGATTTTAGTATGATTTTTTTGTTGTTGTTCTAAAATTAGCTCCATATGCCATATTTTCCCCGTTGTTTACTGAAAAAAACACATTTTCTAATTGAGCTTCAGCACTGTAAAGACATAAGAAAGGCTGATAATTCAGCTTTAAGATGTCAATGAGAGTTTTAATTGGTTTTTTCTTCTTCTTGCAGATGTCCTGGAAGGCTACAATGGCACAATCTTTGCCTATGGACAGACATCATCAGGAAAAACACACACCATGGAGGTACAGTGGGAATATTAAGTCAGTTTGGGAGCAGCAGTAGGATTTTATGTACCAATTATCTGAACAAGGCAGTTCTTTGGAGCTCTGAGTGACACAGAAAAAGAGATTTGGGAACGTTCAGCCTCTCCTGCCTTTAGTATTTCATTCAGCCTGGAGTGTTTTTTTTTTCCAAGAGATATCTCCAGATATCTAAATAAACTAACAAACTGTGAGTAAAAAAAAAACCATCCTGCCAGCTCAGGGATGTGTAGATTTTAAAGGACTTCGGTGAGATTGGTTAAGCCACAAATGGAAACAGTAGTAAGGGTCTGTCTGCAGAGTTCCCTTTGCAAGGCAGGCTTATGAAAATTCCTGCCTTGCTTATTGGTTTTCTCATTTGCACTGCCCTTCTGGGAATACCCCTCTGGCATTCTGCAGCGCAGATGGATGAGTTTGGAATTGCTGCTTTGGAGGAGAATATGAAATTAGGTGAAATTACACCAAATTAGCCCAAATTCCAGGGCCTGGAGTCCTGTGCCTGTTCATTTTCTGCCTCATGGAGTGTGGGGGGTTTTTTTCCTCTGGTTTGGGTTCTTTTTTTTTTAACTGTTCAGTGTGGAAGACATTTAGACATCCCAGTTTTGCTGAAAAAGAAGGATCATTCAAGCATTTAATCCTTGCATGGGATTGTTCCTTCCCAAACTGGGTTGTCTCGTCCCGGAGCGTTTCGGCTCGACCGCGGATTTTGCAGGTCGACAGCAAAGTCTGGCCGAGTGAGAGATGAAAAAAATGACCTTTCCTGGGTTTAACACCACCAGATGGTTTTTTTAACCTGAAGGTTAAAGGACAAGGGAAGCCAGAGGGCCCTGGTGAAATGGCTCCATTCCTGGAGGATGCAATAACCGGTCTAATTAAGCCCGTCCTTGGGAGCGTGGGGGAAATCACTGGCTCAGCCCTCACAGATGGCACAGTCCTGAGTAATCCACCAGCTCTGGGTGTAATTAAATCAAAATGTCTGCAGGGCTCGAGCTGGTGCTTCCACATGGCACGGGGAAGATCTCCTAAAGCCAATTTATATTCAGCATTACAAGCTGTGATAAAGAAAATGACTGGAGAAAAAACGGCCGGTTCGCTGCTCTAATAAAGAGAAAGCTGTCATTTTAGAGTGGAATCAAGTCTACATTCAGCTTTAATCCCCCCTCTTAGCCTAACATCCTCTTGTAAAGTTGCTAAAATATGTTGTGGAAGGAAAAAAAAAATAAGTCTGAAGTTGGAGAAATAGTAAATCCTCTTGGTAAAGCTGTTATGGAGGATTTTCTGTGAAATGTGAAATACTTCCTAGTGTTGGTGTTAAGCTTCAAGAGGATATGGTGGCATAATAGAGCCAGGATGGGCTTTCTGACAGACACAGGTCTAAATAAAAGAGTTGCCACCTGTATAGCAGGATAAACACCTGCTTAAAAAATCACAATTTTTTTTTGCCCATGGGATTAAATTGATGGGCTTTGACCTCATAGGAGAGTTTTCAGTGCTTGGCCCCCACAAACTGTAGTTATGATGTCAACATCCTGAAATGAAACAGCTCTGTCTCCAATGTTGCACTTCTCCTGCTGTGTTTAAATGTGGAAATTAATGTTCTGCTTAAAATCAGAGGCTTTGATGAGCACAGAACTCTCTGTCCAGGGGCTTTGGTGGAGTCCCCTAATGCAGTGTCAGCTTTGCAGCAGCTCCAAACTCTTCCCAAGGTTACAGCTGCATCCATGAGAGTATTTGTGGTTTCTTTCTCTTTTTATTCCAGATTTCCAGGGAATATTGTGCCTTTACCTTGCTCTTCCTTTCCAGGTTGTCCCTTCTAGTGGAAGGTGTCCCTGCCCATAGCAGGGGGTTAGAACTAGGTGGTCTTTAGGGTCCCTTCCAACCCAAACCAGTGGGTGATGATATAAATTGTAGTGAGGCCTCTTATTTTAATAAAAACCCTCTGAAGTTTCTCTTGACTTAAAAAGGGAGGAGATCTGAGCCCAAGAAGTTGTAGAAGTGGCTGAGTGTCGTGCACACCTCGTGTTTTTACAGCTTGATTTCTCCTGTGAGCTGGAAGGAGCTGTGGAAAGGAAAACATAAAAGCATTTTCATCACGGGGCTTGTTGGGGCTGGGAGAATGTTTAATTAAATGCTTTTACAAGTTGTCGCTTCCCAACAATTATTAGGGGACGTGTTTATGGCTACAGCGATCCCAAAGGTGATTTTGCACCTCTTTGGGTTCAAAGCCTCCTTTTTCTGAGGTAACAACCCAAAGCCACTCTGGGAAAAGGGGCATGGAATGACTGGAGCATTCCTGGTTCTGGAGCTGCCTCTGTTGCTGTACTTTGTAGTGTATTTTGAATTTTGCTTTACTTTGTGGTGTAGACACAGCTTTGGCTGGATTTGTGTGCCCTGAAGAAATACCAACAAATCTCTGTTTATCCAGGTTTAGGAAAAGCTCCTTTCCCCTCTTTGGGAAAAGCTTTTCAAGGACTTTTTCAGGGAGAAAGGATGGATGGTGTGAAAATAGTGCTGCTGTCACTGTGTTTTGGAGCAAAGCACTGTGCTGGCAAACAAAGTGTTGGGGGGTGTTTGCACATAAAGTTTTCCTCTTCATCAAGGGTTTACTTTATTTAACCACCCCCTTTTTCATTCTCAAAGTCTGGAATAAAATGGTGTCTCACTTGGGAAGGATTTTTTAGTTTTTGAGTAGCTTAATAAGATACTGGTTATGGTGCTTCTGCTGCAGAAGGTGATACTATTTGTGTAATATAAACCAAATATTCGCAGTTTAGGTACATCTGAGTGCTGCTTTATGGGGATGGCAGTCAGCAAGTGAACTGATTTATCTCTGTTCCCTCTTTTTTCTGCTTCAAGATATTTATGTAATTCAAGGGCAGAAAAACCCAGTAAACTGCTTTAAACACAGGCTGTGGGATGGAGGGAGAGGTTATGTCAGTTCTTCGTGTTAAATTGCCTTCACCCCGGGTTGATGCTTAGAAGTTGACTGTCATTTCACCAGCTTTAGATAAATGAGGCAGTGTCTAAAAAGCCTATATTTGAGTATGCTAATAAAGGCTGGGGAAACTGGGAAAACAGGTCAATGTGACCCACTAGTCATTCACAAACACACATGATATTGAAAACCACGTGCATGTGTGTATAATTTTCTCCCCATTTTGCTAAAAAAAAAAAATGCTGGTGTTTAATAATTTTGGCAATTTGGAGTTGTACCATTGCCCTATATATTTACAAAAAGTAATAATTCCCCACCACTGTTTGGAGTAAGACCCTTTTTGTGCTGTTCTGGGCAGTATTAATTGGCCAAAAATATATTCCAAAGGTGTGTCAGAGGTTCTGGACACCGTGTTCTGATGGAGTCTTTGACTACTGACTTGTTAATGCATATTTAAACAGTTTCATAAAACATTTAGAAATAACAATACAGTCCAGGCTGTAGTCAGAAAAGGTTTTTTTTTTCCAAATTAATATTTCTGTTCCATTTCCAGTGGTGTTAGCTCTCCTCTACGTGCCTGGCTTAGGGGGAAAAAAAAAAAAAAGCAATGCAAGTGCTGTGCAGCCAGGGAAATTGTTGGGATTAGTTAATATTCATTTCTGGAAAGAATAGAGGAAGGTAGTTGTGCAAATGAATATGGAAAGCAGGAGTGTTTGTGAGGCACAGATCTCTGGCTATAGGCCCAAGCAAGCTCAAATCAGAATATATTATTGTAATCCTCAAATCCTCACAACCCAGATTTTCCTTCTGCTCTGTAGCATAGTGGGGGAAGAGAAACAGGATTGTTTAATGCTCCTTTTGTTGCTGCCAGGTTCCCAAATACCTGGTTTTAACCGGGCTGTGATCTGTGTGTTCGTTTGTGTTTGTTCCTCTCCTTGGTCGGAGAGTGACGGTGCAAAGAGTGGCAGGAGCTGCCAGAACAAATTGGTGCTCCGTGGGGTGAGGAATTCCAACGTTTCTGTGCACTGACATCGAGTAAATCCCTCCCCAGAGCAACACACACCCATAGGGACCCTCTGGAAGAGGGCAGGCTTGGACAAAGCTCTCTCCCCTCTCGTCCCCGAGGGAGGATTTCCGAATTAACAGGTCGGTTTTGCATCCGCAGGGAAAACTGCACGACCCTCAGCTCATGGGAATCATTCCAAGAATTGCACACGACATCTTTGATCACATCTACTCCATGGATGAGAACCTGGAGTTCCACATAAAGGTAAATGTGGAGCGACACGTTACGTAACGGGACGGGTGGAAGTCGGGCCGGGCGGGAAATCTGCCCTCGCGCAGCGGATTCTTTCCTCCCTCCCTCAAAAATCACCACGTTACTGAGGATATTTCCTAGAAATAACCCAACCCAGCTGCTGGTTGTTGATGGAATGTTTTTCCTGAGCGTGTTTCCTGCTCAAGTTTCCTGGGAAAACCAGCCACCGCGGTCAGAAAACACCGATTTCTCTGCGGCTTCTCCGAAGGCTGGAGTTCAGCCCCAATAATAATGACCATAAATACCATGAAGGACATTTGTGGGAATACTGACATACTGCTGTCTCAAGGATACAAACAGCCCTGCACACTATTTGGGGTTGAAATGGGGGAGAGGTGGCTTTGGGCAATTCGTGGGAGGATGTTTAGAAGTAATTTTTAGCTCAAAAGCTGATTTATGGGCTCTTTATGGTGGTGCTCTAAGGCTCCATTTGAACACCCATGTTTTTCCACGTCCCTGTCTTGATCCCAGCCACATGATCTCTCAGATTTATCTGAGTGACCTTTAATTCCCACTGTTCATCCAATCTCCTGGGGAGCTCTCAGCCATGGGGGGCATTGCTCCATCTGGCAGAGTCGGGGTCAGGCTGCAGTTCGTTTCCATCAGTAAAATTATCCAGTGGATTGCAGGAAAAATGGGTCCTCTGGGTCGTCCCCCCAAAAAAAACCCACAGAAAACACACCTAGATGGTTTCAGTGAAGTTCAGTAGCTGAGCAGAGGTAGATGTGAAGGCACTGTCCCTTCTTCCGAGGGGGATGCTCCCTGGGAATGGAGCTCCCTGAGAATGGAGCTCCCTGAGAACGGAGCTCTCTGTCCTTCCCGTGCCTAGAAGTTAAGAGATAAGTGGCTTTTTAGTTCTGGTTGCACTAAAGCACTTGAAGCACTTCTGGGGGAATATATATATATATATTTTTATTTTAATAATCTGGTGCCTCTGAACCAGCTCTTCTGCAGTGACTCAATATTGAGAACCTTCTTAGCAGGGCCTGTTTGTGGGGTGCTCATGAAGAACAGACAGTGGTTTAAACAGTGGTTTAAAGTACAAATAAACCATTAAACACTTCAATAGACCTTAAATTGTAAAATACTGAGCTCCTTGAGAAGAGACACCTCTGAATTTTCACACAAATGGCTTCCACAGGAATGATTTCCACTGGTTTCTTTCCATTGCCTGCAAAAGCTTTTCCCACATGATCCCAACAGATGGAGACCCCAAGACGTAGTAAATTCCTGCCCCAGCAGAAGATATCACTTTATAAATCATGTTCTGCCAGCACAGGATTGTTTCAATGGCTTCCCATCATAGTTGACATCCATGAATATCTTAACAGAAAAGCTGCCTAAATAGCAGGGAGTGAGTGAGTGATTGTGCAGGGAGCTGTCAGGGAGAGAAATGCCTGTTCTGTCATCAGGAGCCAGGATTTAACCAAACTGTCACACTCCTTTAATAACTGAGCCAACATTGAAAATTAATATCATTTTTTTTTCTCCCCCTCTTTAATACAGATCCATTTAGAACAGGGAGGGGAACATGTGTTGGTCCTCAGCAGTGTGTTAATAGGATGATAAGAAGCACGTGGGGTTAAGTCTGGCTTAACTGGAATGAGCTGGGCCAGAGCTTGGCTTTAAGTGGGGCACAGGGGAAGTAAAGGCACAAAAGCAACACATATCTGTATTTAATGGCAATTATCACTTAGGCAGATCGACTCATCCCTATAAAAACTCCAGATAATTTATTTTTCAGGTGAGAGAAAATGAGACTTTACTAAATAGTAAGTTTACTGATCCCTAGAATTTAACCATCTAGTTTTCTAGTTAAATAATCCCTGGATGAAGCTTATTTAGGGAATGGTTAGGCCCCACTCCCCTAACACATTTTATTTGCTTCTGCAAGTCAAATACCTTTTATTAAAAGACTCATTTATTCATTTTCCTTCTTAATTTTTTTTCCTTAGGGCAGTTGTGTCTCTTTGTTAGAGAAAAGCTGATTTTCAGTTTCTTCTTGATTCATGACAGAGTCATGGGCTTAATTTAAAACTTTAATATTGCTTAAACCTTCCTTTAAAAGTTTAATTTAATATATATATATATTGTTTAGGCTTATGTAAGTCTTATGTTAAAGGTGCTTTCTGCTTTTGTGGGGGTCAATATCAATATACCTTTTACAGATCTCAAATCTGACCCTTCTCATGATGCACCTGCACTGATATGAAAGTATGAAAATATGAATTGATTGACTCTGCTCAATATTTTTTGTCAATTTTGCCCGTGTTAAAAAGAAAAATAAGATTTTCCTGAAGGGTTTTTTTTTTTGGTATAATTTTCTGTTGAATCATTGATAAATGGAGAAGGATCAGTGACTTGTAAATCATTCAAGATACAAGTTATGTTCCCAAGAAGGATGTAATTCAAACTGTGTGGGAGCTGGGGTTTATTTTAGTTTGGTGCTTTGACAGAGATGGAAATACAGGCACAGAGATTTTTAAATCACCAATGTTTAAATCTGTTTATGATTATTTAATTAGGTTTCCTACTTTGAGATATATTTGGACAAAATAAGGGACCTACTGGATGGTAAGTTCTGTGTTTCTGACGTGGCTGAGTGACTTGACTGGTGCTTAAGGGGAAACAGTTACTTTATTTGGGAGGGAATTAAATTTAAACTGTGTGACTGGCTTTGAGAAGGAGAGTTTTGCAGTTTAAATCATCTGATCTGTCTCTTGTGCACCTGCCTCTGCAGTGCTACAGAGCTTGGCTATGAATCAGTGAGCACAGAGGGTTTTACAGACCTCAAGGCAGGTCTGAGCCTCTCTGGCAGTTGATATTCTCAAAGTAAAACTGTATTTAAAAAATAAGGAGAGTGTTTTAGAGCACGTTCAGTTCAGATTACTCCTTGCTTTGCTTCTGTTAAGAGGGTTTTACACATTTAATGCATTCAAAATGTGCCTGCCAGGGCTACAGTTCACACATGTGGAATGTTCCTGATTACCTCAATCTTCTTTCCTAGTGTCAAAGACAAACCTTGCTGTACATGAAGATAAAAACAGAGTCCCATATGTTAAGGTAAAAGGATCATTTAATCCTCAGTTTTTCCTTCTTTCTCACACGTGCATCTATTTGCACATTTCCATTTCCATCCCCCTGAAATGATTCAGCTTGTGTTTGAAGCCTCAAATGTTCAGGTTGTACTGGCTCCTGGATTGAAACAGTTTCCTGAAATATTAATGGCCTTGAATCATGTTTGTTTTATTTGCCTGACTTTGAACATTTCCGTTTTGTTGGTATGGTGTTAAATTTTAAGTATTCCTATTCCCCTTTCATGTCAGATATGAAGGAGAACAACCTGAAGAATTTTGTTCTTTAATATCTTGTTGCACGGGTGCTTTAATCTTGTAGTACTTTAGGACAGATTTGTTGGGTTAGGAATCAGTTTTATGGATTTCTGAGCCCTCACTTAAATGTGATGTGTTTGTTATGGACACATGTGAGCCTTAATAATACACATAGAATATTTTTCTGTTTATTCTCAGCCTGAGGGGCAAAAAAACCAAGATAAAATAGTGTATTCAGTAATGTTGCATTGAGACAGAGAAAAAGGACTTTGCATCTTGTCTTGTAGTTTGAGAGAGAACAATTAATTTGGGTATGTAAATCCAACCCAAATTAATAACAGGAATATGTGTTGTATGTCTTCTACATAGAGAAAATTTCCTGCTGCATGTTTGGGTTTGGCTGAGTCTTTAATCTTGTGAAGAGCAGTTTCCTCCCAAGTTTTACCCCGTGGACTCCTGAAAGTCACCCAAAGGCAGGTTTTGGTCCATTGCCTCGCTAACGAGCCTGCTGGATGGGGATGCTTCTCCTAATTATTTCGTTCATTAGTGCTAAATACTCCTCCTGACAGCTTTTGGAGCACTAGGAATGCCTCTGATTCCCACTTGCCTCTTCCTAGGGTTGTACAGAAAGATTTGTGTCTAGTCCTGAAGAAGTTCTGGATGTCATCGACGAAGGGAAGGCCAACCGGCACGTGGCCGTGACAAGTGAGTGTTCCCTGGCTCCAGGGTTTGGGTGGTTGTACCTCCTAGTGAACTATTGATCCTTCACAAAGCACTCTGAGTTACTTACACCAACAAATTATAACCCTTTAAAATGAATAGTCTGTGCTTTTGTGCCCTTTTGCCGTGCGCGGAAACGTCGATCGGCTCTCGGCTGCGAGCCCCCGGATTTAAGACGTGGCGTCGTGTTGTTCCATGAGCCATCCCAACGTGGGTTGTTGCACAGAATAAAGGTGTTTGGGAATGGTGAATAACTAAAATGGTGAATAACTAAAATAACTTGGATTTCTCTTTGTGCTGCAAGGCCAGAACTGGGAGCGATTCAGTGGTCAAAGTGCAGCCGAGGGGCGCAGAGCAATTATCAGCCTCTGCCTGTTCATCTCTTGCAGTGACCTGGATGGAGTCCCAGTGATGGCAAAGCAAACAAATCTTCCTGAATTAAACCCCATAATAATCCCTTTGGCCCCTGCCAAACCTGTTGACTTGCTGGCATTGCAGGGATGAAAGGGCCTGTTCCCCAGTTTATACTGGGAGATGTCTTTGATCCAACAGTGGACTTGGCAGAGCCTCAGTTTATAACTCCAGCCTTGGTGGTGGGGTGGTATTTTGGGTATATTTTTTGCTTTTTGTGTTTGGTTTTTTTTTTAATTTAATTTAATTTGATTTATTTTGCTGGGTAACTCCTTTCTCTTCCATGTCTCTACCTTCTTTCTTTGAGAAATGCTATATTGCTTCATCTCTCCCGTGCTTTTCCCATCATACTGATAGGAATTCATTCTCTTTCTTCTGAGTAGCATTTCCTCCCATTACTTCTGCTATTTTCTTCAACAAAAAAATACCCAAATACATCTTTTTTTCTTTTTTTTTTTTTTCTGGGATATTACCTATTGCTTTTGGTGCACTTGGAAAAGTTCTGACAAAGGGTGACAGACAATGAATTTTACCTGGAGAAAATTGGGAAATGTTATTGGAAAAAAAAAAGAATTCGGAGATGGAGGAGGAAAAGGGAATTTAAATAATTATGAACATTGATGGGAATGGGGGAAAGGTGGAGCTGGGCTTACGGGAACAGAGAAAACAGATGAGAAAGTGGTTTACTCAGTCTTAATATTTTCTTTTTGCTACTTCATGAAACTCCAAGCATAACATAATTACAATGACACTTAAAGCAAGTGGAAGCTGAACTTATAGCTGCCTGTGTAAAGGAGGATTTTGAAGTATGTAAGCAATAAAAATCATTCTGAAATTTGAATTTAAATAGGGTGGGTTTAATGAAAACTTCTGCTAAACGTTGGGAGACCTCACACAGTGGCACCAAGACCTGCCCAGCTTCTTTTTATTGCAATTATTATTATTTTGGTCATGTTGGAAGAGAGTGGGAGCTTTTTTTGTAGCCCATGAGCTTTATTTAGGGCTCTTGCAGTGGTCTGGGCTCTCCTTGTGCTTTTGAATTAGGTGGCCATAGCCCAGCTGTGATGAAACCCAACCCCTTGTCAGGTTTTAAAGCCATTTAAACCAAGCCTGTGATTGCAGATATGAATGAACACAGCTCCAGGAGCCACAGCATCTTCCTTATTAACATTAAACAAGAGAACGTGGAAACTGAGAAGAAACTCAGTGGGAAGCTTTACCTGGTGGACTTGGCTGGAAGTGAGAAGGTGAGTTTTCCTTTTCCCTGAACGATCCTGGTGGGATCAGTGCAAACTGAGGGAGATTTTACCGAAAAATTACCTTAGATTCTCTTTAGGAAGGTTATTTTCACTTTTTTTAATGCGTGGGATGGAGAAAAGGGGCAAAAACCTGCAATCACTTATAATGGAGTTGACTTATATATATAACTTTACATTTAGTTATGGGTGTTTGAAAAAAGAAATGTAATTTTTATTAGACAGCTATTTTAATTTGCTTGTATTCAAACATATCCTGTTCCTAGATTTTCTGTAATTACTGCACATATTACAATGAAATGCCAGCAGTTAACAGAGTTTTATACCTGAAGTCTTTTTGAACTCCCTGAATGTCTCTCTTGATTGTGGTGACTATTTCTGCTTTCCAATGTAGAAAAATAATAACCAGAAAAAAACCTTTATCTATTTGCCAAAAGAATAATGGTCTAGAACAGTATTACAGTGCAAAAATATTTCCCAGTTCTCATTCTCATGCCTTCTGGAGTGTTCAAAACTGGTTTGAATGGTGTTTTCAGGTTGCTTGTTGGGACACACTAATTGATAACCCACTGGTACAATGCAGGAGTTAATAATGTTGATGTCTATGATTGCATCTATTATTATGTGTTAAATTAAAAGCTCTTTATGGTGTTTATAAAATGAGGGCCTACTCAGGCACTGCACTTCTCTGAAAAAATTAACTTTTATGGTTCACCATGTTTGGATGCTGTACAGAAAACCTGAAACAAGGGTTTCCTTGGTGGGTTGTCTTCTTAAAAAATACAATATTTTTTATGTCATGTAGCATTTTTAGAGGAAAGCACAGACAGTGTAATTTTAATTAGAGAAAAAATATGGCTTTATTCTACATTTCTGTGCCTTTCCCCACTCACCCCCTCAAAAAAGAGAGAGAGAACAGACTGAAAACCCTGTTGCTGCCTGGAGGAGTGCTGGTCCCAGGACACCATCCTTGGGATCCAGTCTGTGGACAGCAAACCCTGCATTTGGGATGAGTAGGATCACACTTTCCTGTCCTGATGAGTGGGATCACACTTTCCTGTCCTGATACTCTCAGTCCACATAGGCCAAATACAAAGCCAAGATGCTCATTTTGAGTGTGCCCTGAGAACATCCCCGTGGTGTTCCCTCTCTGGATGGTCTTGGAATTGATCTCCAAGTGTCCTCAGGCGAGCACAGACTTCTCTCCCTGAACAAAAGGTCATCTTACTCTTAGAGGTGGAATTATTACAGGCCTCCCCTAACAACAAAGTCCATGTAAAGTTCTCCTCCTTCATGCTCTTGGTTTGTTTTAACTCCAAGAGCATCTTTAGCTGTTGCAGTGTAGCTCTGTGTGTGCCCCCATGGCTGAGCCTGACTGTTCCTGCTCTCTTTGGTAGGTCAGCAAAACTGGAGCGGAGGGAGCTGTTCTGGATGAAGCTAAAAATATCAATAAGTCTCTGTCTGCTCTAGGCAATGTGATATCTGCCTTGGCAGAAGGAACTGTAAGTAATCCTGTTTTGTGTCGTTGAAAAATGGCTTTTTATTTATGTGTTTCTTCGCCACCCGCATCGAGGAGAGAAAAAAACAAACCCGAGCTAACATTTCAATTCAGAAGGAAGAAAATATTGGCTTTCCAGCCACAAACCAGTGACACTCGTGCTGCTCTGCCCGAGATAAGAAGCTAATTCTCAGTGATTTCACTCCAGTGGTTATCCAATCTTAGCACAATCAAAACAATTACCCCTCAGAACCGCCTCAGATCTGTTACACCTGTCACTGTTGGCTCTTGTGTTTAAAATGGAATTGTTCTTGTCTCTCGCTTGTGTTTGGATCAGAAAACCCACGTTCCATATCGAGACAGCAAAATGACCCGGATCCTTCAGGACTCCCTGGGTGGGAACTGCAGGACCACCATTGTCATCTGCTGTTCCCCCTCGGTGTTCAACGAGGCAGAGACCAAGTCCACCCTGATGTTCGGCCAGCGGTGAGTCCTGCTGGGAATCCTGGGGGACGCTCCCCTGGGCCCTTCCACATCTTCCTGGGGCTGAGAGGGAATGAGGCAAGAAGGCAGTTAAAATAAGGAAGTTTCTGGAGTCGTTCAAAAATAGGACTGGAGAAGTTGAGAGAACTGTCCCTTCGTTCCCAACGGCACCAGAAAAATAAATGTTAATGTTGGCCAGCAGCTGCTCTGCTTAAAAGCCCTGGTAGGTTTTCCTGCAGAAAGTACAGAGTGTTATCACAGTGCTTTTGAATTTTATGGGGAAGGTAATGGCACTGGGCAGTTTTCTGTTGGATAACCCAGTGGAAAATGTTCCCTTTTGCTTCACCTGGTGCTGCCCTCGATGCTTTCAAGAGGTGTCTTCTCCTTGAATGGCACCTCAGGGATCGTCGTTATGGTTCTAAAAAATATCTTTAAACCATTAAGGAAGTGGAAGAATGTGGACCCTGGGTAATATTGACAGCTTGGATGGATTGCCATGGTGGCTCATGGGCATTCCTGTGTTTGAAGGATCTTAACAAGCCCTCAGAAACGAGCAAGGACAAGATAAACGTGGATGTATCCAGGAAGAAAATTTCTCTCCCATATGTGTCCGTTGCCAATAATCATATGGAAATGCATTTGGAAAGTTTGCAGAAGTAGGTCAGGCTCATTATGTAATTACTGCTCTTGTGGTAATTGAGGAGAACTTGGGTACTCTGGAAAATTACTCATTTTGATTTATTTGTGTAATAGCAGAAAGGAAAAAGCCTCGCAGGTTAGGATTGTTAGAAGTAGAATTTAACAGTCTGTAGCATGCAATGAATTTGTCTGAAAATGGGTTGTTTTCCACCATCTGTAATTTTGGGGCTACAAAAGAAGGCAGTGGCCATTAACTTAATCAGGTTTAGAGCTGCCATGTGGTTTTATTTCACCATTTTATGATGAGTAATAAGTTACTGAAGATACAAGCTTCTACTTCCCATACCTGTGTGTGCCACAGAAAATTTAAATAAACACAATAATTACCACAGCAATTAAAAGGCATTAACAACTCTGAAGTCCAGCTTCCCTGTTAGATTCCAGTTTACCTTCCTCTTGGTTTCATTTCTGCTGCCAATATTCAGTAAAATTGGCCTTTCTGTTTGGCAAAATGGTTTTCAAAGCCACTTCTGGCATCCTGACTGGCAGAGCATGGAGTGATGTGATTTGATTAAAACTTCTCTGGGAAGAGGAATATTTCATTTTTCTGGTGTGACACTGTTAAGGACCTGAATACCATTAAAGGGAAGGTACATGACTCAGGGGTCATTACTGGTTCCTCCATTTTTCCTAGCCCAAAAAAAAAATAAATTATATCACCATTAAAATAAGTGTGAGGAGAAAAATTCATCTTCACAGGCCCACTACTACTAATCAACACATACATATCCTGCACTCATAGTAGTGAATCAGCTTATTCTCTTTCTACTGCACCTTTTCTTGTGGTTTTATATAAATTTTCATTTTAGTTTACTTCATCCATCATTAGGATAAACTTTATGGTGTGATTTTTTTTTTTTTTTCCCCCCAGTACAGTTAAATGAGTGTGGAAACTTGAGCCCTGCTTCTGACAGAGACAATATGTAAACCCTGGCCATTAGGAGTTATTTGAAAAGCACAGGGTTATTTTAAAATATTTTTTTAAGGTACCAAAACTTCCTGCAAAGCACAAACTGGTGGGAGGTTTGTCTGTTATTCCTCTGTTTATCTTCTGTTTTATTCAATGACACTGGAGTCATTTGAAGGGACTCTGTCTGAGCAGTGGAGGGCCAAGATCTGAAGCTTTCTTAATTCACAGTGATTTGTTTGGTTTTTTCTTTTGCAGTGTGGCTTTGCTGTTGTAGGTGCTGGGCCTGGTTTTCTACTTGCTTTGCATTCCCTGGCACGGTTGTGGAGGGCGGGTCGGAGCTGGGCACTTTCACAGGAACAAAGTGCTGCTGGTTGTTGTTAGAAGGGTTTCAATTTTGGGGATGTTTTTGCCTAGAGAGGCAATAAATCATGAGTAAATCATGAGTAAATCATGTGAACTCCAGTGGCACAGGCATGAGTTGAGCCTCCCTCCCTCAGCCCTGGAGTAACCCTGGTACCCGGCGGTGACCCCGGTTCTCCTCCCTCCCTTCCTTCCACCTGCAAAATTGAATTTATTTGGCTTTCAAGAAGGACAAAGTTCCATATTTGCCTCTCTGGGTTGACATCCTTTATGCTGAGATGTTGGGAACATGGCTGAGTTTTGTTGGTGAGGTTGAAGGGATGGTTGTGACGGGACGGGGAGAGCCCGCGGTCGGATGCTGTGGTGGGTCTCGGGCCAGGAGAGGCTGTGAGGTGACAGCTCCCCCAGCACAGCAGGAATGACAGGGCTTGGCTTTGTCCTTAATCCAAGCACACATTCCAGAGCTTCTCACTCTCATAGAATCCTAGAATTTACTTGTGTTGGAAGGACCTTAAAACCCATCGCATTCCATCCGCTGCCATGGGCAGGGACACCTTCCACTAGCCCAGGTTGCTCCAAGCCCTGTCCAACCTGGCCTTGGACACTCCCAGGGATCCATGGGCAGCCACAGCTTCTCCAGGAGTTTCCCTTTGTGTTATGGCCAAACTTTGCACTGAGATAAAAGCCAGACTGCAGCTGATCCCGGGTTTTGTTGTGCAGAGCCAAGACCATCAAGAACACGGTGTCTGTGAACCTGGAGCTGACGGCCGAGGAGTGGAAGAAGAAGTATGAGAAGGAGAAAGACAAAAACAAGAGCCTAAAGAATGTTATCCAACACCTAGAGCTGGAACTGAACAGGTGGAGAAATGGTACGTGCCAGGAATGGGGAAAGGGGGAGTGTCTTTGTGGTATTAAGTTACATCTGTTTAAATCTTGCCTTAAGTCACTAATTCTAAGTTCACATGCAGTTGTAGCTCAGGCTTCAAAACAGGAACTGAAAGGTGAAGAAGCAAAAACCAGGGAAACCAGCAACAGCTGTTTACAGAAGGAACCATTTAAATTCTCAAATTATTTTGATGTCAGGTGTAGAGAGTACAGGGAGGCATCGCTACTTTTAATGATGTTAATAATATTAATAAAGAAAAGGGAAAATGGCATTTTTGGAGGTTTTTTTTGAAAGAACTCTGCTCCTCAGGCTTGAGAATCAGTTCCATTGTGCTTTAAGGTAACTGGGCCTTGGGGTTTTTTTATAATTGGGTTTAACATTAGAATAATTAGTCCTTTAGTACAATGATTGGGAGTGTCATCTGGTTGGAAGAATCACCACTTGTCTCCTTCTGTGGCTTTTAAGTGAAGTTTATACTGAGAACAGCCAGTTTTCTGTTTAAAAACAGAGGAAATTGCTGTTCAGGTAGGTTGTAAAATCAAGTGTAGGATGGTAGAGAAAGATTAATTTTTTCATACATACATACAATTAAAGATGTTTTATTTAATCTGGAATGTTGAAAAATAATTTTGTCAAACCATCCTTACTTCAGATTTTCTGTTTCACATTTAAAAAAATCAAAGCCCACACTCCAAACCAACAAACAACCCCTCCCAACCCAAAGAAACCAACCCAGCATCCCTCCCGAAATCTCCACAAACCCCTGACAGTAAAACCCAGCTGCTTTGGAGCAATTTTTATTTTTTAAAGTGCTTGTCATCCAGGTCCTGTGTGTTGATGTGCGAGCCAGAAGCATCTGAAGCAAGAACAAAATTTGTGATTTAATTAGAAGTCACGCTTTGTGATCTGGGTTTGAACACCCTGGGTGCAGCCACTGCCTGGAAGATAATACCTGACCTTTGTGGGCTTCCCTCTCTCATCTCCCTGTGCTGTTTGCTTGCCTTTCAGATGAGATGGTTACCTCATGATTGTGCTCCCTGCCTTTCTCTGGAGGCTCCAGCACAGGGAATATTTCCCTTATCAGCACAGTGCCATTGCTATGGAGACGTGGGGCTGCTCTTGGGAGTGCTGGGATTTACAACCTGCTTCTTCTCCCTCCTTCACCCCGTGTTTGCTGAATGGGACCACTTTCATTTCCTCCCCAGCCCAGAATCTCTTTCTTTTTTTTGTTTTTCCAGAAATCCTTTCTCTGTGCTGTGTAAACAAGCCTGTCTCTGCTGTTTTGTCTAAATACTCCCCATCCCCCCCATCAGCCCTGCTGTTCTCATCAGTGTTACCCAGCAATACATTCAAAATACTATTGATTTCTTGTCTGACCCTCTGCAATCCCACCCTTTGGAAGGATATGCTGTCAGAGGAGCCTCTTTACAAAGGAGAGTTTCACAGGAATTGCATCTTGGATAATATTCCACTGGCGTGGTTTATTCCAGAAATTCAGAGGATATTATGCAAAATAAATAGATATTATGCAATATAAAATGGTAGCAGGAAATGGGTGTGCCCAGTCCTCACTGGGGCTGGATTTCAGCAGCCAGGTGTGTGTTTTACAGGTAGGAGGTTGTTGTCCAATGAATGGAAAATCAGACATTCCTTTTGGGAGGCTCCTGATGGATTCTCCACAGCCCGAGGAGCACTGCCCTGTGTACAAGCCTGACTGAGCCCACCTTTCCTACTCTGCTCCAGTGAAATCCAATAATGGAAAAACCCATTTACATTTTTCTCATTCATGACACAGAATGTCACCAAGCCTTTAGAAATAGGGCAAAAAATATTTTAAGTGAAGTACATTGTTAAAGGTGACAGTGCTTGATTTCAGATCACGTCTTTTCACGCTTTAAGCTTGAAAAAGATTATTTACTCTGTTAGTTGGTCTTGGTCTTTCATGCCCTGTTTTGTTTCACTTTTGGGCCTGAATCAGCCTGTCTGGGGTTTGATATATTTGTCCTGTTTCCTTGTTTCCCTGCCAGTAGGATAAAACAGAGCCTTTTGGCCAGAGGAATGGCTGGTAAAGCTTTATGTGGCTGAAATATTGTAGCTTTTTGTGGAAAAGGAAATTTGTGCAGAAGGGTTGGCTGTAACCTTCCCACACCCTGAGCAGTGTGGGCAGCACTCAGGGGCTCAGAGTCTCCCAGCAGGCTGTGATGGGAGTAGATTTAATTTCTGGCATGAGCACTTTGCCTGTCTCTCACCACTGAGCTGCAGCGGGGTGGGAATTGTGATGCACCACCACCACTGAAGGAAATATTCCTTGGAGACAATGATTCCGAAGTAAAACGTGCCTGGTATGCACAGACAACATCTAAAAGTTGGTGTTTGTGCTTTAATTTACGTGGCAGAAGGTGAATATTGCTTTAAACACACCTGTCTTGCTGCTGTCCTGGTGCCCTCCCATCACCTTCCAACACAGCTGGAAATCTGAACAGAAAGGGATATTTAATTGCCAATAGTCTTTAGGAAGTTAGGGCTTTTCCCTCTTTATTTCCACCTCTGTTAAACCACGGAGTTAATCCCATCTGTCCAGGGCTTGAGTGAAGGCAGAGCCAGGAGTTGAGTGTTTTTAAAGGCAGCTGCTCAACCTGTTGCTCTGTTTTCACAGGATGTTAAGGTTGGAAAAGACCTCCATGATCATGGAGTCCATTGGTGATGCATGTTTGTGTTTCCAACCGGGGAGATCATCATCCTAATGAGGATGGCCATCTTTCCACACCTACTTTTCCTTGTCCTTTGTATCCCTGGCAGTGGCATAAAGCCCTTCTTTGCTTTCCTGAGTCCCTCTCGGTGACTCTGAAGGACCATCCTAAGTCATCCACGGTTTTGGACACCCCTCTGTCTTGGATTGTGTGCCTGCAGGAGAAGCTGTGCCAGAGGATGAGCAGATCAGTGCAAAGGACCAGAAGAACCTGGAGCCTTGTGATAACACCCCCATTATTGACAACATCACCCCCGTTGTCGCCAGCATCTCCACGGAGGAGAAGCAGAAATACGACGAGGAGATCGCCAGTCTCTACAGGCAGCTGGATGATAAGGTGGGATTTCACTCCGTTTGCTGGGTGTAAATGGAAAACTCTGCCAAAATGGCTGGCTGTCTGTCATCCTTGGCCATCCTGAATTGGAAAAATGTTGGAAAATTCCAGACGCTCTTCGTTGCGTCACATCAGATCTGCCTCTGCTCCCCGTGCGGTGTTTGGGGTCACTCTCCATGAAATCAGAGCCAAAGTTCCCTTTAATTTTAATGTCTCAGTACAGGCTTTTCATCGCTCCTTTTCTTCAGTGGTTTCTGTAAAATCCCTCACCAAACTCTTCTCCCCCTCACAGGGGAAAGAAAACAAAAGGGGGACTGCATTTTAATATTTTTATAATGTATTAGAATTTTAAGGAAACCACAGATGCATCCCTTGGGTGTCTTTTGTTAGTGCTGCTCTAGCTGGGCCCCAAAGTGCAGGTGGCTTGTTTATTTATTTATTTATTTATTTGCACAGCTTGAAAGTCATCATGGGCACTTAAAGCTCTCAGCAATACACTTACCCAGGGCTGGCCATTAATAGCTTTGGCTTGTGTGAAAATGATAATTGGAGGTAAAGAAAAAAAGGCCCACTAAAGCCATTGACCATTGTGGATGAGAGCAGCATAAAAGGCTGTCTAGAGAAAGGGGAGCTTTCATCATGAATCAATACTCAATTCTAAATTTCAGTTGTAATTAGCAGGGAAATGTCAGAGAGAAAAAAAAAAAAAAGCTCCTCTGTGCCCTTGTCTGTTAATGTTGGAGTTTGGCTGTTTGTGAATAGTCAGGGAGGGAGTGGGTTGTGTTTAAACCTTAATTCTGATGTGCATGAGGTCTCTGGTTACACCCAGCAGTGTGTTGATGGCATTGAAAAGAGCAGTTAAGGTCTTTAAGAAATTACACCTATTTTTCTGATGGAGAATACGTGCCCAGTAGCAATCTCCAGCTTTTACATATTGATCAGGAAAAGGAAAAAAAAAAAAAAAGGCAACCATTCTTTCACTTTCCTCCTCAAAAGTAGCAAAGCCCTTTGAATTATTCTTGAGGGAACTGGCAGCAGGTTTGAGTTTTGCCCTAGAAAACACAGGAAGAAATTTTGGTGCATTATTGCAGAACTATAGGAAATGAGATGGCATTTAATCCCCAAAACTACTCCAAAATATCACCATTTATTTGCATTTGTGTAGTTCTGTGTATGTATATTTTTCTCCCCTCTCACACCGCTCCAAGGTGCACAAGGTTTGCTGTATTATTTTTCCTTCTTTTCTAGAGAAAGGGGAAATAAAAAGTGACCAAATGAGAACAGTGAAAAGAAACTAAAAAAATCTCCAACCCCTTTTTTCGTTGCAGGACGATGAAATCAACCAGCAGAGCCAGCTGGCTGAAAAACTAAAGCAACAAATGTTGGATCAAGAGGAGGTAAGCAAGTTAAAAAAAAAAATAAACCAACCAAATGAAAAACTCTTACATTTTCCTCATGAGCCCCTTGTTTAGTGATTCTGTCACAGTTGTTCATATGAACTGGCTAAAATTCAATAGGCAAGAGAAACCTGTGTGTCAGCCAGGTTTAAACTTCGAATTTCATAATACTGTCAGAAGAACATTAAACCTTGATAACTCCTCATAATAACAATCCATCCTGCTGGGAGGTGCTGCTGGAGGTCCAAGGTAGGAGTGTGGCCAGTATTTTTCACTTCAAATGTGGTTTTTCAGCATGTCTGTGCCCTCTCAGGTATCCAGACACTATGGACTGCAAGGAGTTACAGATTTTCTGCTCTGACTGTATAAAAATTACTCCTGGTAATAAATTACTGATGTTCATTATTTTGGATAATTAGAGACAGTAATGGGAGAAGTCTGTGAGATGGAAAAATTGATTATTGGTGCTGCTACGGGCTTGCTTTAAAATCTTGGATTGCTCACTTGAAACGTTTGATTTCATTGTCTCTGTCCATAAAACGAATGTTTGTTGGTTTTAAGACAGGGGAAATATGACCACTAAACCTGCAGTCAGGTTATTCCCTGGTCTGTCATTTGTTTACAAGAGGATTTGAAGATGCAGAATGAGGCAATAACACTAAATCACCAAGTTGCCCAAATGTTGCTGTGATATTTCTTAGAAATTGCTTTTAGGCTGGCGGGAAATTGGATAAGGGCCATCCAGCCCTGGAATATAATCCTGCTGTGGGAGTTCATCCATCACCAGTGTTCTGAAACACTGCTCTCTCTTTTCAGGCCACACTGCTGGGATTCTCTAGGAGTGTCTCTCCCAGCTGCCCAGCTGGAGCACAGCGCTGTTCTGGCTGCTTTTTTGGGGTGTGAAACCTCCCTTTTCATGGAAAAATCCTTCAGTCCTTACCCAAGCCCTCAGAAAGGGTTGCCAGGGCCCCCTTGTCACGTCTGAACATGGCTGTTACTCGTCACTCATGACTTACCTGCCACCTTTGGGGCTTGTCCTCTCTGCAGGAATCACCAGCCTTATCTAATTCCATGATTGAGCTCCTCATGCCCTTGCCACAGCTTTGTTTGGCTGCCCGTGCCTGTGGCTACACAGACACAACAGCCTTTTATGCCTTCTCAGCACCATTATTTTCTGATGTGTGTTGTGGTTCTATTTGTGTCATCTCACCTCTCCCATCTTTTTCACATCATTCTTCTCACCCAAAGCTGACTCTAAAGCTTTTTTTTTTTAATTTATTTTCTGATGTCTCGTTTTTTGAGGGGGGATGTGTATTCCTTTGTGTTAGCTGGCTGGGAGCAGCTAACACAATTATTCCCCACTCTCCACATTCCATACTCGATATCACACCTAGAATATGAACCAGGTGACCCCTAATCCTTGCCCTCCAGACCACTTTCCCCCCTTTTTTTTTGCACATTCCTAGCTTTGCTGACTTGGAAAATCTCTCACTGCTTGTTCAGAAGCTTTATCTGGTTCATCTCAGGAGCTTGTCCGTCTCTTACCTTTGAAAGCTCATGTGATATTTCATTTTTCAAGGTGTTTTTCCACCTGCTCTGTGGGAGGGATGTACCTGCTCTGTCCTGGAGCTGTGACTGGCTCAGTGATACACGAGCTGAGAGCAGCTGCCTCACTCTGCTTCCCCCTAATTAACCAGAGGCTTTTTTTCTGCTTGATTAAGCCAGCAGGTTAATTATAAATCTGAGGCCTGCTGCAGATGGCATTGGGCTGATATTGGTGTCTTTTGGTGCCTTTACACCCCTGGCTGCTTCTTAGGGTGCATTTTTTGAGGGATTCTTAATACTCCACCCTGCACCTCCCATACTGTGAACAGATCCACGAAGTGCTGCAGCCATTGTCCCTTCCCTTTGTTTACTGTTGATGCTTATAATGTGTCATTAATGGCCTTTGAAAATCTCTTTTTTCCCCACGTAATATCAGCAAGAACCTTCTGGGGAACCGTGTTTATGCTCTAGGTGATGCACAGCACTCCTCGAAGTCACAGCAATATCCACGCAGAAAATTTCTTAAGTAAATGTAAATAATAGTTCCATCTGTGTTTGGCAGAAAGATTATTTTAAGCTGTTCTGTTGTTTAAATATTTACATGCCATCTGGCTTTGGCAACTCGGCGGGGTTTTTCCATAACGTGAGTGCACTTCTGAGGCTGCAGCATTACCAGAGAGATAAATTTCCCTTACATCTGAATCCTCCCTGCACCACTTTTGGGCATGTGCCAGCCTCTGGAGCTGCCTGCCTGGTTCCCCATTTTCCATTAGAACTCTGAGCCAAAAAAAAAAGGGGAAAAAAAGCCCTGTCTTATCTGACATTCTGCTTTTTGTGGTCTGTTTTAGAGGGGGGGTGACAGGTCAGGAGAAGTCAACCCAACTCAGTTCAGCAGGGCAGGTTTTATTGCACTGTCCAAGAAAGCTTCAGTACAGCTCTATTAAACTAATGTATGTATATATGTTAAACTAATCCATACATAGGAATGCTTGGAAAGAAGTGAATTCTATGAATGAATGTCCAAACTTTGCTGTTAGGATAAGCAGGAAAACCTTCTTGTATTTCCTGCACTAGTTTTATACCTTATTATTCTCTATGTTATGCAAAGTCCTGATTTTGTTATTATTCTCAGAAGTACAATATTAGTATTAAATGTTACGTGGCACCTGTTATCTATTTTCACATCATTCTGCTGGTGGGTCTGGGTTTGTGCTGAGAACCCAGGAGCTGAATTTTCAGGACTTTAACATCTCACTGAACACTGGTTCAAGGGCAAGGGAGAGGACCATGCAAGTGACCTCAGCCCTGTCACTGAAACTCCAGCATCTCCCTTAGTAGTGTGCGAAGAGTAGATTTAATAAGTTTTACCAATTGGAAATACTCACTAGACTGTGTGAGGTCAGTATTTGCTTCTTTAGTTAATCTTCTCCCTCAGCAAATATATGAGCAGCCAATCTGTCTTCAGCATCGTGCCTCAGATGATAACAGAATAATCATCTTAGGTTTGCTTATCAAAATATTTCTTTAATGCCCCAAGGTCTCTGAGGCTGCCTCAGAGAGCCCTTTCCCTTGGCTCAGTTCAAAGCTCTGAGTCTGTGTTGAAACATTTCACTTTGTGGTGTTTTTTGGTCCTCGCCGCAGCACCATATTGAGGGCAGAGGATTTCTTTGGAGCTCTGATACTGCTTAAAATAAGTTTCTCTGCCTCAGTCTTGTGTCATAATAGGATTTGATAAAGATTTCGTTGAAGTTCAGAGGTTTTTTTGTGCTTCCTTCAAATGCATTTATGCTGAAGCTGGTGCTGTTTCTGGCAGAGCAGCAGGATTTCTTTGCTCCTGCTTTCTCTCTTGCACACACATTTTCTCTCCCTCTGTCTGTTTTTGCTCTTTCCAGTGTTGCCTTTTGAGTGAGCTCTTGGGCGACTTAATGCTTCTGTGATACTTCTTTCCAGCTTTTGGCCTCCACTAGGAGGGATTATGAGAAGATCCAAGAGGAGCTGACCCGTCTGCAGATCGAGAACGAAGCGGCGAAGGACGAAGTGAAGGAGGTGCTCCAAGCCCTGGAAGAATTAGCTGTCAATTATGACCAGAAATCCCAGGAAGTGGAGGACAAAACAAGGACCAACGAGCAGCTGGCTGATGAGCTGGCACAAAAGAGTGTAAGAGCAAGTTGTTTGAAGGGTTGGTTCCCTCCTCACCCCCTCCAAAGATTTCCACGGGGGGTCCCCAAAACCTGTGTCGTGGTCCCCCAGCAGCAATCAAGAGCCACATTTGCTGATGCTGCTTGTCTCTCTTCCATCTTAATTAAACAATGAAATTAAGGTAATGCAGGCACTTCTCTGTGGAAGCTGGTGGCAGATTGTGGCTCTTGCAGCCCCTGTGCTTTGCACACTCTAACAGTGACTGAAATGAATGTGAGCCCTGGCCATTCTGTGTTTTGGGTGTTTGAAAACTCTTATCGTGCCAAGAAGGCTGAGAAAATCTGCTTTATGCAAATGGCAGCATTCTGGGTTTTTCTGGACTCTGTACTGAGAGTCAGGGCATCTCAAGGAAGGGATCAGAAAAAATAAATCAGCTTTTTTGGCTGATCTTAAGGAAAAAATCGGAGGGAAATCAAGATTGGTTTATTAGCTTAATGCATCCTTTTCCCTTAATTCATTACACAAAGTGATGAAGCTCTTGTTAACAGATATATTTCATTAAAGACTTTGTTATCTACTTCAGTAGAACAGATTAGTATGAAATCCATTCGAAAAAATTGAATTTTATATCCTTCTATACCTATTTCTCGGTGATTAACCTTCTCTGATGTATTATGCAAATAAGATTCTTACCGGATTTGCTACATTTAATACATGTAAAGTAGCCTTGGTAGCAAGTGAGTTGTGAAAGTGGATTATGTCAAGGTGGAAGGGGACGTGTCAGCACGTTGTGCCACGGGCACGGTCAGGAAAATACAAGACAACACCACGTAACCCAAATGCCACGTGAGAATTGGTGGGAGAGGAGGGTAACTCTTCTTTTTAAACCTTCTCAGAGTGCCCTGACAGCGACCCAGAGGGAGCTGGGCCAGCTGCAGGAGCTCAGTAACCACCAGAAGAAGAGGGCGACAGAAATCCTGAACCTGCTGCTGAAGGACCTGGGGGAGATCGGGGGAATCATCGGAACCAACGACGTGAAAACAGTGAGTTGGTTTTGCTGCTTGTCCCCCACACCTCCTGCAGTGTAAAAATGCTCCATCTGATCATGGAACCACAGGATGGTTTGGGTTGGAAGGGACCTTAATGATCATCTCGTTCCATGGGTGGAGGCATCTTCCACTAGCCCAGGTTGCTCCAGCCTGGCCTTGGACACTTCCAGGGATCCAGGGGCAGCCACAGCTTCTCTGCCCAACCTGTGCCAGGGCCTCCCCACCCTCCCAGCCAGGAATTCCTTCCCAATATCCCATCTAACCCTGCCCTCTGGCAGTGGAAAGCCATTCCCTGAGTCCTGTCCCTCCATGCCTTGTCTCAAGTCCCTGTCCAGCTCTCCTGGAGCCCCTTTAGGCCCTGCAAGGGGCTCTCAGGTCTCCCTGGAGGTTTCTCTTCTCCAGACTGGACACCCCCAGCTCTCCCAGCCTTAGCAGAAGGTTTCCAGCCCTTGGAGCATCAATTGATGTGGAATATGTAGATCCAGCAGTCCTTCTCCCAGGACACTGCCATGGAAGTCCTGGCTGGAGCTCTTTGTCTGGCTCAGTGTGTGGACACACAGTTCCCACAGTTATTCCCAGCTGTTTAGACCCAGACTAGTGCAGCCCATCTGTGGGTTGATGCACTGATTAATGGGGCTCTGAGTTCCCCCCAAAACTATTCCCATGCAGCCCCACTCCTTCCTTAGCTGGCATAGCTCAGAATTCCCAGAACCTGAAACAGTTTTATTGGCAGGATTTGGCATCTGGGGTGGCTACTTTTTGTTTGAAGGTTGGTGCAAATTTTGGGCAGCTCTGATTTGAGATTGGCCTGTCACACTCCTGTGGGAGATGAACAAAATTCCAAGTTTCAGAGGAGATATTTCTATGGTCCGTGCTAAATGGCAGTGATGAAATTTTTCCCTGGCCTGGAAAATCTCCCAGGTGATTAATAACCATCTTGCCTGTCCATTTAAAACCATGTGAAAAAGACCAACAGTTAAAACTTCATAAGAAATCCATTTTAAAGATGTATGTGGATTCCTTGCAATGCACTCATTTTTCTTGCTTTTAGTTGACTTCTTGCTGACGTCCTGCTCAAGCCCCCTTTATTTAGCAGGATGCTCCAGCCTGCTCCTGCTGCAGAGGACACAATCCCTGCTGTCCCTGTGGTGCTGCAGATGCCAGGAGCAGCAGACCAGCCTTTGGCAGATGTCACAGCAGCCTCTGGTGGCCGTTGTGACAGGGACAGTGAGAGAAAAACCTTCGAAAATGGAGGCAGAGGCAGCGAGATACAAATTTTTATATAACTAAGATGTCAGCATTTTTGAGGACAGCTGTCAGCGTAAACAAGGCCAGATTGAGAAGTGTTTGGAAGAATAATTTCAAATTTGTTGGCAATTAGCATCTTCTCCAAGTGTGTCTAATTTCAGGCCAGACTGAGAGTTTTGGAAGCAGTGTCATTTTTTAGGCTTTTCGGGATGCAGCACATGTTCCCTTCCCCTTGGCAGTGCTGGGGAAAGGTGAGAAGCAGATGAAGTTCACCCCTGTGCTTGCTCAGGGAGAACCTGCACAGCCAATCTGTGGTTACAGGAATTCAGTAGCTGAAGAAAAATCATGAAGAGAAAGATAACGTGTTAAGCCAGTGAAGGAAATTATGTATAAGTAGAATTATACTAATATTTAGAGATGAGAGCCATTAGTTTTCTCTTGCCAGGTGATTTCCAGACCCGTGTGTGTTTTACAGCTCCTCATGGAAGAAGCACAACCCTTCCAGAGGGGAATTCTTGTAGGAGTACTTTGAAAATGCTCTTCAGCTTTTTGGAGTGGTGAAAGAAAGAAAATTTCCCCTGCTGGTGACATGAGAATGTTTCTTCAAAATGCACTCTTGCCATGATGGTGGGCTTGATTATTTTAGATGTTGAACCACTGGATTCATAGAATCATGGAATATCCAGAGTTGGGACCCACAAGGACCATCCAGTCCAAC